GAAAGTAAGGTGAGTGGTCAGTTACAGCTCTGGGCTCTGCTTCCTTTTCAGGAACACTCCCCAAGCCCAGCCTCAGTGCGTGGCCCAGCTCAGTGGTCCCTCCCAAGAGCAGAGTGACCCTCAGATGCTGGTCTCCAACCAAGAACGTCAAATTTGCTTTCAAAAAGGGAGGAACTTACGTGAGGCGATTGCAGCTCACTGGTCCTACAGATGGCCAAAGTGAATACTCCCTCACTGATGTAGGACAAGGTAACGCTGGGGAGTACACTTGTGAATACTCAAGGAAACGACTCAAGGACGCAAGGACTCCTCAAGCAGCTTCACCACCCAATGATGCCGTCACTTCACCATCCAGTGAGGCCCTTCTTCTTCTGGTGACTGGTGAGGATAAGGTGCTTTGGGATGACATGGGTTTCCTTGAGAAAAAGCAAGAGAGAAGGATCAGAAGAAGAGCGGAAGAGAAAAGGTTGCCTCTCCAGAGGGGAGGAGTGTGAATGCCAGTGAAGAGAGACAGGGCCAGAATTTGAATGTTGGTTTTACTCAGGGATTTGGGAGGCTATATCCAGTCCTGGAATCAGTGGAAGGAGGAGTTAGGGAACTAGCTGTAATTTACTCCCACTCCATGAGAATCAGGGTGAGAGGCACCTCAAGACTCTCCCTTTATTTCTGAGCCTTCCTTCTTTTACAGGATGTTTTCCCCAACCTTCCCTCCAAGTCCACCCAAGGCCTAAGGTGACAGCTGGAGAAAATGTGACTCTTCAGTGCCGGAGGCCAGACACTGTGACTCAATCTTTAAGGTTCGCTCTATTGAAGGAAGGCAACCCAGCGCCCTTACAGCACCAGAATCCAGCAGAGTCCACAGCTGAGTTCTCCCTGCTGATGGTGACAGTCAATGACACTGGGATCTACACCTGTGTCTACCACCAGCACGAGGCCCCTTTCTGGGCCTCAACCCTCAGCAACACCCTCGAGATTCTGGTGACAGGTAAGGCTTTCTTGATTTTTTTTTTCCTAAAAAAAATTTATATTGGTTTGTTTACAAAGCTCATCTACATTGTGTCTCACACCATTCTTCATTCATACAATCGTTTTTATGCATTATATTTTATAAAATCAATCACCGCTGGACCTTACCCATCATTACCCAGTATTTTCACATCCCCATCAGATCTTTTCCATTTCCTTTACCCCCTTCCTGCACCCACAAACTGTGCAACCCTGTGGTTTTACCTCCTCCTTGATTTTGAGAGGTTTTTTTGGTCTTTAATCAGAGTCCTTGTTATGCACCATTGTTGCAGACCTAGGGTGAAGTAATTTTATAATTATTAATAATGAGACAGCCAGACAGGAATGAGATAGAAAAGAGAGCATGAAACAGGGGGCCAGCAGTTCTCGACTGAAGACCTCAAGCCAAGCTTCTCTGTGTATTTATTGATAATCAGGGAAAGCAAATTATAAAAAGAATTCCTTGTAAATGAAGCCGAATTTTTCTCTATTGTCACCCTAATGCTCTAGCCCAGGAAGTATTTCACAGGTAGTAACACTCTGTAGGAGGCCCCTAGCTGTCTCCTGTCTGCAGGGAACAAACAGCTCATTTTCTGGGAGAAATCCTAACTTATAAACTTGTAGTTCCTTCAATTCCTTAAACAAGGGTTTTCATATAATATTTGGTATAAAGTGTGGCTTCCCAAACACCACCCAGTTAGCTACGACTCCTAGCAAACTTATGTATAGCAGAGTGAAACATTGCCCATCCTTGTAACTATCTTGATATCGCTGTGTTTGGGCCCACGGAGGCAGCCACAATGCCAATATGTCACAATGGAGATCTTCCTCTTTTTTTTGCCTACCTACATGCAGTAGACTGTCTGAAGAATGACGTTCTCTGAGGACTGATTCTTCCCAATAGCACTTCAAAAGTAACAGGAAGTTTCATCATCATCCTTGCTTCTAAGAAGCATTCCAGCAACACTTCTTCTAAGCTTATTTGCTTGTTCTTCAGGAAGTCTCTGATCGTCAGTATTTTTTCTCCCAATACCTTGGCAGCATCAGTGTGGATGGTGAAGAGATTGAGACAGTTAACAGTTTTACTTGGTTTCACAGGCAACACTCTTGGTAACAGCAGCCAGGAAATCAGGAGACAAATTGCATTGGGAAAGTCAGCTGTGAGGGACCTCTCAAGAGTACTGAAGTGCAACAATGTCAGGCTGCAGACTAAGGTGCGCCTGATCCAGGCTATGGTCTTTGCAATTGCGTGCTATGCATCAGAGAGTTGGAAAGTGAATAAAGATGATAGAAAGAGAATTGTTGCCTTTGAGCTGTGGTGCTGGAGAAGAGTGTTGAATATACCATGGACTGCTAAGAAGACAAACAGGTTTGTCCTGGAGACAGTGAAGCTGGAATGCTCCTTGGAGTCAAGGATTCTGAAGCTTCGTCTGACATACTTTGGGCATGTTGCAAGGAGGGACTGGTCCTTGGAGAGGGACAGAGAGTGGAAGGGTGGCTCAGGAGAGGGATTCTGTGACTGGAGTGGTGGGAATGAATGTGTTTGAGACAGCGAGTTTGGCAGAGGATAGAACAGTGTTTAGGGCTCTTCTACATACGATCACTAGAGTCACAGGTGATTTGATGGCACATAACAACAACAGCCTTCAGATATGTCAATTCTTCTACAATCTGTCTTATTCATGGTTCAGTTTTCACACACATGCTAGGCAATTGACAGCATGGGAACTTAGATCAGGCTCACCGTAGCCCTCCAAGTGACATCTTCACTTTTTGACACGGGCTAGGTGTTGTTGAGTTGACAACCACGGATGGCAACTCTATGAACAGCAGATGGAGACCTTGTCTCTGTCTGGTGCCATCCTGAAAGTCAAGTGAAAACTAAAAACCAAATAAAGTCAATTCCCAAAACTATATGTTGCACCCAGTAATGAGACACTCACTCTCTTACAGATCAGAAGCCTTTATTTCTTTTTTTTTAAGTGTGTGTGTGTGTGTGTGTGTGTGTACCTTCAAATCAGATCTGACAGGTACAGGAGGAGATTGTCCCTCTTTCTTCAGCAGAGCACCTGGTAGATTCGAACCATGCACCTCTGGGATTGCAGTGCAGCTTGTTGCCACTATAGCTCGCCATAAATCCTTTGTTTCTTGGCCAAGGGTTGTTGTCTTCTGTACAAACACAAGAAAGAGCAACCACCCCTTACCAATTAGCTAGAGGTCTGATACGATTTCAAAGCAAATGCTATCAGCAGTGGCAGCTTTCTGCGCTTACCGGCCACACCTGCTATCAGCACGCTCGATCAGTTGTAGTAGCTCTTCGTGCTAACCTGTCACATCTGTTTATAAGCACACGCAAGCGGTTTGACAGAGGCCAAAACCAGCACAGTTAGAAGAAAACAAAATAAAAAATTTTTAGATGGCAGCTTGTTGTTTTTGTTAAGTGCCGTGAGTCGTAGGCTACTCATAGTGACCCTGTGACCGAAAGTTCTCAACATTTGTGTGATTTTCGTCATTTCTCCAAGTTCATGGGGTTTCCAGAGGCAAGCTTTTACGGAAGTGGATGCCACTCCTGCTGCCAAGTTTGTTTTAATCGAGGAGCTCCACCAAACACTGTCCACCATGGGTAACCATTATTGCATTTGACACATCAGTGTCACAGTGTTCTGCTTCACAGTGACCACGAGTTACCACTGTACAGCAAGTGGACAGACCAGTGCTCTACCACTTAGAAAAATGTTTGACCAAAAACCATTAAAACCAGACCTGAGGGCCACAGATTAAAATCACCCGCCTTTGGCTTGGTAGCATAACTTGCTATTCACAAGAAAACAAACAGATTCATCCTGGAGAGGGTTAAACCAAGCTACTCCTTGGAGGCAAGGATTCTGGGGCTTCATCTGACATACTTTGGGCATGTTGCAAGGAGGGACAGGTCCTTGGAGGGGGACATTATGCTTGGGAGGGTGGAGGGACGGCATAAGAGGGGAAGACCCTCTTTGATATGGATTGATTCAGTGACTGGGGTAATCGGGATGGGTGTGTCAGAGACAGTGTGATTGGCACAGAATAGAGCAGGGTTTAGGGCTGTTGTACATAGGGTCGCTATGAGTCGCAAATGACTTGATGGCACATAACAACAACAACAACAGGCCAACAGAGCCCTGTCTATGTTGTTGTTATTGTGAAGTGCCGTTCGAGTCGTAGATGACTCATAGCGAGCCTTTGAATGAAAGACCTGAACACTTAGATAATTTTCATTGTTTCTCCAAGTTCATACAGTTTCTGGAGGCAAGCTATTTCGGAAGGGGATGACACTCCTGCTTCCAAATTTGTTTTAATCGGGGAGCTCCATCAAATACTGTCCCCTTGGATAACCATGAGGGCATTTGACACATCAGTGTGACAGTGTATGTAGTTTTCTTTAGAAGTAGTTGGAGTTGACCCCATAGCATTTAACAATAACAGTAGCAACAGCCTCTTCAACTATGAGGAACTACATCTGTTTTTTTAATCCACGCCCCTTGTGATATTTCTGTTGACAGCAACACTAGGGTAAGAGACCAACTTTAGACTCATTGTCCAGTTTCCAGATAGCTATCAGAGTTCTCCACCGGGAGCTTTAAAGGGGTAACTTATCTTCTCTTATCTCTAAAGCTTCTAATGACTTAAAATAACTCTCCTTACCAGAAGTCACCCAGCCCACTACGATTGAGTTGACCCTGGCTAACAACAATTGCACAGGACAGGTAGAATTTCCCAGTGGACGTTCCTAGGCTGTACTCATCCAGAAGTGGACTTCTACACCTTTCTTCCATGGAACAGCTGGTGGGTTCAAACTGCGGACCTTTTGGATAGCAACAGAGAGACTTAGCCACTCTACCAGCCGAGCTCCCCAGCTATTCAGAACAGAATGACACTGGTTACTGACGGTGGCATTACAGGGCTGCCTTTAAGGGCACGCATTTTAATCCTTTATTCTCAAGTGCAAGTCAGCTCAAGTTTCTAAACAACAGACTCTAGGGATCTGGAAATTTCATAACGTTTCTCACACACTCAGGACACACAGGTTTTTGGGCGAGTAGCAAACAGCTGACGGGGAGGGCCGAGTTGAGAGGGAGATATTGCTAGAAATAGAGTCTCACTTCCTGATCGTAGCTGTGAGATGGAAACTGAGAGGGGAAGGGGCAGAGAAGGGAGGCACCGATGTGTTTTCAAACACTTGCAGACAATCGGGGAAGTAAGTGGTGAGAATTCAGTTGTGACCTTGTTACCAGTTCTGCTTCCTCTTTGAAGCACACAGCTGAAGTCGGGGCTGGTGTTCAGAGCATCTGAACCAGCTGGCGCTGACTGGGTGGCAGTGAGTGGATCCCCACTGTCTAAACTGGGGTGATGGGGGTTGGTGTGTTGGACTTAGTGAGACTGGCTCAGGACAGGGAAGGCTTCAGAGCTGCTATACATAGATAAGGTCGCTGTACATCACAGGCAACTCAATGGCACGTAACGATAACAGGTTTGGAAGCAGGAGTGGCATCCACTTCCTAAATAACACGCCTCCGGAAACTCTATGAACTTTGATAAATGCCGATAATTGCAGAGGGGCTTTCAGGCCTTTTTGTTCACGGGGTTGCTATGAGTTGTGCTCTAGTCAAAGGCAATCAACAAGAACAATGAAGAAACTGAGCCAATAATAAAAATAACTTCGTGTTGCTTATTGTCTGGGATGCTGAGAATTATGACATCAGTACTTCAAATACCAACAAGATCGCCCACTGTGGACAGGTTTCAGCAAAGCTTCCAGATTAAAACAGATTAAGAAGAAGGATTTGTTCATCTACTTTTAAGAGAGAGAAAGAGAGAGGGAAAAAATACTGGCCAGTGGTGGAACTGATACATAGCTGACCTTCCAGCAAGTTTTCAGAGGCAGTCAATCACATAAGAGGAGATTGCCCTCAAAACAACTATGAGATCTCATCTCACCCC